ATTAAGATATTCCTTTCTTTCTTTTCTATTGACCCATATGGCATTAAGATAATACTGAGAGATACATGGAGTATGCACAGTGAATACTCACGGAGAGAGGCTGAAGGCGTCCTAGAATAGAGTCTAGAGACGTTTGATCTAAGAAACTAACAGATCATATCCTGTACATATAAGGACTGACCAAACTGTTAAAAGAAACACCTTGGTAAGAGATGAATTTGGCACGATTAAAGGTTAAACCATCCACGTCAACAGTTAATGTGCATAAATTAGTTTCTTGAAATTAAAGTTAATTTGCATTTTTAGTCTAGCACATAAGCATAAATACATCGCATGCATAATCTTTGCATTCTTGCATTCTTTGCTTGTATTTGCTACGGATCATGGGAGCTCTCAAGCCAAAGCACCCGCAAACTCCAGAAAGCTCAACAAGGCCACAGGAGCCAAAATCGTATCAACAAAGGGGCATCATAAGTCTAGCCTAACGAGGGCACTCCCTGAAAGTAGTTCCAAATGAATACGAGGAACATCAATAGCCACTAAGCAAAGAAAAGCACAATAGCAACAAAACAGAGTAGAACCTGCCCAGGAGGAATAAGCAAGCTTATAGTCAGCATAAGGCATGAAAAGGTCACCGAGCTAAAAGGTCAAGAGACCAAACGAAAAGCAAACGAATCTCAAGCATTTTTTTCCCAAAGAGAGGCGTCATGATGACATAGGGCAAGCTTCAAACCTAGGAGGTTCTGCCTTCAGCTGAATCAAGAGAATGCTAAGGTCAAGGATGGATTATAGAATGTTGAAGCTTGGAGTGCCATAGAAAGAATACTCATCAAAGTCAGGAATGGCTCCAAAATAATACTCATCAATAATGCTCTGACAAGCACCATCATTGTGGATAAGGGGTCTTTTCACCATTAGCGACTGTAAATAAAAGCAAAAAAAAATAGAAAATAGAAAGAGCTAATAGCAAGGAAAAGGCTAAGCTTCAAACATATTAAAAAAATCGAAGCATTTAGAAAAAAGGTAAAAATAAGAAAAAAGGCTAAACTTCAAACATGTTGAAAAAGCTGAAGCTAAGAAAAAATTTGCCAACGAAAAACCCCAACCAAGTCATCCAAGGACTAACAACCATGTGGGCTACTAGATATCAAAGATCCAAATAAGGGACAAAAATTGCCACATCTTCCTCAAGTCTTCCCCAAGCAAAGCATTCAACTCAGAACAACCAAGAAGTCTATTGGATATCAAAGATCCGAATGAGGGGCAAAGTTGCAAAGATCCCCAATCAAGAAAAATTTCCAATCGAGTGACCAAGACCCACCCAAGAAAATTTGGCTAAGAGAGTAGCTTATTCCCTAATATTCCCCCACAAGTGCAGATTAAGCCTAAAGAGGCTTTTATAAATAATACCCAATTAAAATCCTAGTGTATAGATCAAGCCTGGAGATACATCAACTCAAATAATACTCAAGCTCTAAAACCTCCCCAATAGAAGGAACCAAGCTTAGAGAGGCTTTTTGCAAAAGAATACTTAAACTTCAAAACTATACAATCCCCCAAGTGAATAATTGCCTAGACATAGGCGAAATAGTCAAAGCTAGTGGCATCAAAAGTATCCCCTCATCAAATCAAGTAGGCATCATTTGCCTTTTTACCCCCAGCGTAGAAACAAAACAACATAGCTATAATCACCCTACTAAGGGGATGATCTTTCGCCCATCAACACAGAGGCATCTCTTACAAACTATTTACATCTTCATTAGACATTCCCACCTAAGAGAAGAGGCAACCAGATCATGGAAATCACCATAGGCTTGGAGAGGCCGGCACGAGAATACTCACCATAGTAAGCAACCTGAAGAGGCCAGCGCAAAAACACTCACCACAACAGGTGGCTTGGAGAGGCCGACACAAGAATACTCATCATAGCAGGTGGCTTGGAGAGGCTAACATAAGAGTACTCATCATAGTAGACAACCTAGAGAGGTCGACCAAGAATATTCATCACAGCAGGTAGCCTAGAGAGGCTAACACAAGAATACTCATCATAGTAGGCATCCTAGAAAGGTCGACACAAGAATACTCATCACAGCAGGCAGCCTGGAGAGGCTGGCACAAGAATACTCATCATAACAAACAACTTAGAGAGGTCAGCACAAGAATACTCGACCAACAGTCTTGAGAGATTGACGAGAAAGTCACCCCTATTAGTCTAGAGAGATTGACGAGAAAATTCACACCTGACTTAGGCCAATTGGAAGCCTTAATACTAATCTAGCTTGGAGAGACTAAGCTCAGAACATACTCAAATCATCGACCTAGAGAGGTTGCAAGCAGTACTCAAATCCACAACTTAGGCTGGTTGGAAGCCTTAATACCAGTCCAGCCTAGAGAGACTGAGCTCAAAACATACTCAAATCATCAACCTGGAGAGGTTGCAAGCAGTACTCAAATCCACGTCTTAGGCTGGTTGAAGACTCAAATACCATTCCAACCTAAAGAGGTTGAGCTCAAAATGTACTCAAATCACCGACTTAGGTTGGTTAAAGCCTCACATATTAGTCTAACCTAGAGAGATTAAGCTCAAAATATACTCAAATCACCAACTTAAGCTTGTTGGAGCCTCAAATACCAATCTAGCCTAGAAAGGTTGAGCTAATAACATACTCAAATCACCAACATAGGTTGGTTGGAGCCTCAAATTCTAGTCTAACCTATAAAGGCTGAACTTAGAAGATACTCGCTGCTCAGCAAACTTGAAGAAGTCTCGACAAAGACAAGTCCACAAGACGAACTCACCAAGCCAAGCCTATAGAGAGACGGTGAAGGGTGTCTACACCTCACTCATTCCCATGAAGACAAGAAGACAAAGACTCGGACAAAACATCTATGTCTTTACTTGCCTTTGGAAAACACGAACTCAAAATCTTGCTATCCAAAGGACAAGTAAAGAGGGGTAGCTGTAGACACTAGATTTCGTCCAAGTTACTCCTACTAAGATCAGAAGGCCTCTAGAACAAGAAGAGCAACCCTTGAAGGCTTGGTAAAGCACAAGAACGAACCAAGACGGAGCCTAAAAGGCCCATAAGAGACTACGACATGAAACACCCTAATTTTGACACGGAATGATAGTTTTCAACCTTAGAACGACCGTTCCTGTCAAGAAATTTGAACTTAACCCTAGTTTGGGAAGGACCATTCCCAATAAGTGTTTTATGTGTTATTCTAAGGCATAGAACAGTCGTTTCAGTGTTGGGAATGATCGTTCCCCTTTCCTAGGTGCCTATATAAGCGTGCCCAGGGCTCATTCTCCAATACTTCTACACACAGAGCTCACACCTATCATATTTGACTTCCCCTTTCTCTTTGTGAATTTCTAAGTGATAGTGAGGTTTTTGTAGAGCAAAAGGTTGCCAAAATGCACCCTTGTATACATTTGTGAAGATTCTTTCATAAAAAGCTTGCTTTGGAAGTTCTAATTCTCTCTCATTTTCCCTTCTCCTCTTTATTTGCTTTATTTTACAACTTTATTCGCATGCAATGAACGACTACTATGGAGATAATAAACTAATGCATGTATTGTAAATTAACATGATGTGAATTGTTGTATATTTATTAAAAATAAATGGGGTAAAACCTTAATTATATCATTGTTATGCTAAATTTATAATAGGGTACCAAGTTAAGGCATTGTGGGATGCCTAGTACCTTTCCAACACGTAACCAACCCTCAATCCCAATTCTAGCAATTAAGGCTATAATTGATTTTTGAAAACATTTTCTTTCTTCGATGTTTTGAGTAAAATATTGGTGGGGACTCCTTTGAACCTTTTCAAAATCATCAGTAAAGGATTAGTTTGGTCTTTGGGCATTCCAACACTAGTGAAATTTTCAAACTAGAGGTTTAAACCATTTGTGGAAATGATCAGAATTTTTTGAGTTCCAACAAACATATGAGTTAAAATTGCATAATTAAAAGAATAGATAACAAATTTTTTAAAAAATAAATGAAGATACAAAATTTGCAAAACTAAAAAATAGACTAAAAATGTAATTAAAAAAAAAAAACTTGTCTTTTAAGTTTGCAAACACGTTCACATCTAATTTCATTGAACAATGATATAGCCTCCGAAATTTTGTCCGAAAACACGTACGAATTAATTATAATTGACATTTATAATTTTTTTATTATAAAATATAAATTTTAATTAAAAATAATTTTTTTTTAATTAGTCGGAATATGATTCGAAATATTGGAGAATATATTATTTTTCAATTTCATTTAATTTTATCACAGCGTTGAATTTTGACTGAACGGGGCCTTTTCAAAAGTCAAGCCTCAAGACTAAGGTTCCTATCAAGACAACCTGTCAGGAGTGGTAGTACATCTCTCATTGAGTAGAGGGCCCAAAGATATGTTATAGTGCTTTTTATAATAAAAAAACATTTTTTGACCAATAATTTAAAACTAATTTTTATTTTTCAAACAGAATTACTTTTGATGAAAAATACTTATAATCTATATTAAACAAAATACTTTTTTATAAGTATAGAAATTATCAAAATAGGTTTCATTTTTTAAAATTATTTTTAGTTTAAATTTTTTTAATAAAAATACATTTTTAATATTTATTTCCCGATCTCGAATCACTAATCTTAACATTAATTTTTTACACAATTGATAGTACAAAAATTTTTAAACACTCCAAATTTAAAGGTCTATTTTGATAAATGTTTGTGAAAGCAATTCTAAAAGAAAAAATAAAATAAATAAATAAACTTCTCCATTATACAAAACCTATAATTTGTCCAAATATTTATTTATAACTTGAAGATAAATTAATTTTAACTTATAAAAAAATTTATTCTATTTTTTTTATCTATTATCCAAGCATGTCTTAAAATGTGTATTCAGCCGCCGGGGAAGACAAAAATTGCATCACTTCAATGAATATAGGTACAAAAACTAAAACATGTCAAACTTCAAATCTAAAGCAACATATTACCCTCCATTTCAAGTCACAACTTGCCCTGACCCTTTCTTTTCACCGTGCCGGTCTAATCATGCAACATGATTGTTAGTTTAAAGACTTTTTGAATGTATCAACTAGCACATCTCAAAGTCTTCAAATGAATTTAATGGACATGGAGGCTTGTAACCATGGAAAACCATCATAACACAACAATGTTAATAACGGTGCTCAGTTTCTTCTTCTACCTCATTTCCATGTTATCTATACAAGGCACCCTCTCTCTTACTCCAAATGAGTCAATCCAAGGCAACAAGACCATGGTTTCAGCATCTGGAACTTTTGAAGCAGGGTTCTTCAACGTTGGAAATTCACAAGGCCAATACTTTGGTATATGGTACAAGAACATTTCACCAAGGACTATTGTGTGGGTTGCCAACAGAGATGCCCCAGTGAAAAGCTCAACAGCATTTCTCACAGTAACAGATCAAGGGGATCCTGTTATTCTTGATGGATCAAGGGTCACTGTGTGGTTCTCCAACTCATCAAGAGTTTCTAAGAAACCAATCATGCAGCTTTTGGATTCAGGAAACCTTGTTGTGAAAGATGAAGATAGTAGCAAAGGGAAATTCTTGTGGGAAAGTTTTGATTACCCTGGTGACACTTTCCTTGCAGGAATGAAACTTAGGACAAACTTAGTCAGTGGTCCTAATAGGTCTCTCACATCATGGAAAAACCAGGAAGATCCTGGTTCTGGTGAGTTTTCATATCACATAGATGCTCATGGCTTTCCTCAGCTGGTTACTACAAAGGGAAAAAGATTGTTTAGCAGAGGAGGGTCATGGAATGGCTTTGTTTTTGGTGGAGTTTCGTGGCGAAGGATGCTTAGACTCTTCAATTTTACTCTAGTGGTTAATGACAGGGAAGTTATTTACCACTATGAAAACTTGAATGATGACACTGTTAGTAGGTTAGTGCTCAATCCATCAGGCTTTGCACAACGTTTGATATGGTCTCAGAACCGTGGTTGGGAGGCTATATCTACTCGTCCCGCGGATCAGTGTGATTATTATGCCTTTTGTGATGTCAATTCTGTGTGTAATATTACTAATTCTCCAAAATTATGTGCATGCTTGGAAGGTTTTGTACCCAAATTCCATGAGAAGTGGAGTTCATTAGATTGGTCTGGTGGGTGTGTTAGAAGAGTAAACTTGAGTTGTGGTGGTGATAAGTTTCGGAAGTACACGGGAATGAAGTTCCCAGACACTTCTTCTTCTAGGTATTCCAATGACTTGAGCCTTGAGAATTGTAAGAAATTGTGTTTGGAAAACTGCTCTTGTACAGCGTATGCAAATATAGATGTCAATGGGAGAGGGTGCTTGCTTTGGTTTGATAACATTGTGGATATGACCAAACACACAGACCAAGGACAAGATATTTACATAAGACTTGCAGCTTCAGAGTTTGGTACTTTCGTTTTCTATTTCATCTTTTGCATTTCAGTCAAACATAGCTGAAGAAACGCATAAACTGTGTCTAGGTTAGTTTGCACAATTAAAATCTATATTCTGTGGTGGAACCAGCTTTTGGGGTGTAGAATTTCTGAAAGAAAATCATTTACTTGGAGAAAGCAAAACAAGAAAAGAGAAGTTTTTTGGTAACCATAATAATGTAATTGCTGAAATTGTGACAGTAGAAAATAGTTTGAAATACCGAGGCTAGCTTCCAAATTGGAGTGTGATATAAGAATTTTACTATTGTTCTTTTGTTTTCTTTTTCTCCTAAACTGCAATTTTCATGCAGCTTGTTTGTTGACATAGAATGATTTATTATTCCTCAGATCATAGAGGGAATAACCAGAGCTTTGATAACAAGAAGCTTGCAGGGATACTAGTAGGCGTTGTAGCATTCATCTTGGTACTTGGATTGGCCACAATCACATATATAAAGAGGAAGAAGCTCGCAGAGGGAGGTGAGTTTATGAAAAGTAGAAGTTGACTCTTGTTAATGTACTCCAATATCAGAATGTAACTTAACATTTAGAATGAAGAGAAGTGTTCAATTCTGAAGTCTCATTCATGTTCTTCCTATTATAGTTACCTTGTTTACTATTAAATTGTGAATTATAGCAAATTGGTGTTTCCCACTATTATTTCAGGGATACTAAAAATATTTCACCAGAAGTACAAAAGGGATAAGGAAGACGTGGAGTTAGCAACAATATTTGATTTTTCAACCATCTCTAATGCCACAAATAATTTTTCAGACAGTAACAAGTTAGGAGAAGGTGGCTTTGGACCAGTATACAAGGTAGTTTAATTTTACATCATATAAACCTTGATTAGGATAAATCATCTTATTCATCAAAGTTTAAAATATTTTAAAATTGTTGCCAGGGTGTATTGAAAGATGGACAAGAGATTGCGGTCAAGAGACTTGCAAAAACTTCTGAACAAGGAGCAGAGCAGTTCAAAAATGAAGTGATGTTGATGGCAAAACTTCAACACCGAAATCTTGTGAAACTTCTCGGTTGTTCTATTCACCCAAAAGAAAAGCTATTGATCTACGAATACATGTCCAACAGAAGCTTGGATTACTTTATTTTTGGTTTGAAATTTCACACACTGTTATTTTTGGCTTTTCGTTTGACTTTTGCTTATGTAGTTGTTACACCGACTAAAACTAAAAAGTGAAATTTGATAGATTCAACTCAAAGTATACAACTAGATCTCACAAAACGCCTCCAAATTATTGATGGTATTGCTCGAGGGCTACTCTATCTTCATCAAGACTCTAGATTAAGAATTATCCACAGAGATCTCAAAGCTAGCAACATTCTTCTAGATAATGATATGAATGCAAAGATATCAGATTTTGGTTTGGCAAGAACATTTGGAGGGGATCAAGCTGAGGCCAATACAAATAGAGTGATGGGAACATAGTAAGTACTTAGAGCTTATTTACATAAACTTCTTCATAAGAACTTGTAAGAAAAGATAATGAGAAAGTAAAATGAATGGAGATTTTCCATCGATTTATACACCTCAGTTTTGGAAGAAGTTAAATAAGAGAACTTTTATAAAAGTTAAGTACAAGAGAAGTTCAATTCATTTTACCTTCTCAACTTCTTCACCCATAATGAATCATATATTTTCACTATGTTCAACCCATTTGACAATCACTTGTTGATTTCAATGATTGTGTTGCAGTGGTTATATGCCTCCTGAATATGCGCTGCATGGAACCTTTTCAATCAAATCTGATGTATTTAGCTTTGGTGTAATTGTACTAGAGATACTTAGTGGGAGAAAGAATCGGAATTTTCATGACTCTCAACATCATCTTAATCTTCTTAGTCATGTAAGCTAAAACCATATTTATTTCTGTACCTTGATATAATATTTGCAGCTGCAATCATCCAATACTAACTATTATATCCTATTAGAACATCTAGGATGCTGTGATCCGAATAGGTAGCAATGAACTGGTTAGAAATTTAGAATAAGATATAGAGTTTTGCCCCCTCCTTTAGCAGGAAATTGAGTTAAAAACCGTTTCAGACCTCTTTCAAGTGACTATATTTGAGAATCCAAACATAAAATTTTGTTGGAATTAAGGTGCCTTTGGAAAACTCTTGAACTTGTGTTAACAATGAAAACATAAATTTGAATAGGTATTTACTTCACCTGTTGGCTTTCATGTCAATATTTCAGGCATGGAGATTGTGGATTGAAGAAAAACCACTTGAGCTAATAGATGACCTATTAGATGATCCAGCCACTCCACAAGAAATACTGAGATGTATTCATGTGGGTCTATTATGTGTGCAACAAACTCCAGAAAATAGACCCAACATGTCATCTGTGGTTCTAATGTTGAATGGTGAAAAGTTGTTGCCTGACCCAACCCCACCTGGGTTCTACACAGGAACAGATCAACATCCACTTCAGGTAGAATCTTCTACAAGAAGTTGTGGAGCCTGTTCACAAAATGATGCTACAGTGTCCTTGTTAGAGGCACGATAGAATAACTCATTTTTATAGGAATTATGTTGATACAGAAATTAGGGGTCCGTTTGGAAAAAAATATTTGAAAAAGAACTCGTGTAAGTAATTGAAAGAACTTATGAAAATAACTTATAAAGTTAGAATATTTTCATAGATTGTTTTTCTTATGAAAAGCAGCAGTTTAACCCTATTTCCTCCTCTGATACGAACACAAAAGTTCCTTTAAAATAACATTGGGAATCAAAACATCCCCTTGTCATTGATATGGACTTAGATGTCTGACGTTGAGTTTGGATATGTCGGTGGTGGACTCTCCTAACATGGTTGAACTTCGGTGGAGAGGAGTTGGAGTCCTACAAAGGCACTTAAATAGAAGATTTTAGCATAGTAGCAGTATGTAATAATTTAATAAATGCACAATTTAGACGGTTTGATTACTTATATTTGTATATAAACATTATATACAAATATATTATTATTTAGTTTTAAAAGACATTATTTTATATTTAAGATGTTGTTTAAAATTGAAAAATATTATTTTTATTTTAAAAATTTGTTTTTTTTTTTTTAATGTTAGGAGGTCTGGTGTATAAACAAAGATTCTTAAAATCAGAAAAATTACCTAAGTTATAGCGAAAGTCATTATCCATAGAAAGGAGAGTCATACGAATGGAGTGTTTTTTTATGTTTTATCTAAAATTTATAATGGAATTTGTGATAATAAATATTTATTAAAATGTTATTTTGTACGTGAGCATAAAAAGTTGAACCAAGTTAGATATATTTGAGAGATCTTTTATGGTTTCTTTATGGTTTTTTTTTTGTTGCGTTCCATCATTTGATCCTTAAAGTGTGGGAATGTTTGTTTCTCCATTGGTGGTATTGAGAGATAGGGTTCTTACGGACTTGTGAATATGAAAGTCAAAGCAAGTATTTCTAAGATTAATCCTTTTATCTTTGATGGAAATTATATTCTTTGGACAATTAGAATGGAATCATATCTAGAGACTTTTCATGGAGGAGGATTGTGATATTTCTCCATTCTCAAATAATCTCATTATGACTCAAATAAAAATTTACAAAGAATAAAAAAATTAAAGAAGACAAAGGTAAACAATATTTGTTTATTGGTGCATCACAAATTATCTTTACCAAAATCATGGCTATCCAAGCAAAAAAAAATGTGATTTAGGATTACTTGAAGGAAGAATACGCACGATATGAAAGAATACAAAGCATTTATGTGCTTAACTAAATAAGGAAAAATGACTTATAGAGAATAAAGAATGAAAAAGAATGAGACAATCAAAGAATATTTAGATAAATTATTTGACATCACTAATAAGATAAAGTTACTAAACATTGAATATCCTGATTCAAAAATTTAAGAAAAAATCTTGTAATTATACTTGAAAGATATGAAGCTTCTATAGTCACCTTGGAGAGTACAAAATATTTGTGTAAGATCACTTGGGGGAAGTGTTACATGCATTGTAAGCATTATAAGAAAGAAGACTCCTGAGACAAGAAAAAACTATGAAAGTTGTGTATTTAGCTGAATCAAAGAACAAAAATGATGACAAAAACAAGAAGGAATTATCCCCATAAAGATGACAAAATTAATAGCACTCAATCTTTTTCACCATGTCCTCATTGCAAAAATATGGTATTATATTGATGAATTTTGATGATGGTTGTGAATTGTACGATGTCTAGTAATGATGATTGTGTGAATAAATATGAATGGTGTGTATCTAGATGAGTTGATGTAAAAAATGTGGTTGATAGTTGTAAGATGTGGCTCTATATCTAATTGTGCATTGGCATGGATAGAAATGATGAATGGATGAGGTGACATGACATGAGCATTGGTGCATGTTGCATACACATTTACCCTGGCCATAAGTGGTGATTAATAGGGGATTCATTTTTATACACTAACCATAAGTGGTGATTAACAGTGTGACATCAATCATAAGTGATGTAAACAGTGTGGCCATGTGGTGATGTCTAAGGAAATTGATGAAGTTCACCCATTGTGAGGTGTTCTGAGTTGATACTTCTTAGGAGGTTGCATTACACATGCATTAACATGAGCATGAGCATGATGCATGAGTTGTACATGTATATATGTAATAGTGGCGATGTTAGTAGATGTATATATGTAATGATAGTGTTGTTGTGATTGGTTATTAGTGTGAATTGTATGAGGATTGATTAATATCTTTGGGTGGAATTCTTTTCTTGTGTCATATATATGAATAACCATTTTTCTCACCCGTAATAGTGGTGGTTTATAATTGTTTTATTTGATTGGGCATTTAGAGGTGGGTTACATGTGAACTTGTTTTACTTAAGTTATAAATGAATTTTTTACTTATTTAGTCATTTTATTTGTTGGGGTAGAACGGGTGTCACAGAATCCTAAAAAGACTTTGTTGTAAAGAACCCTTGGGTGTTTGAGATCAATAGTGACTTTGTGTTAAAGAATATTTTTGTTGTGCTTTGTTGAGCTAGGAGCAGCTTTTTTAAAGAGTACTTATTTATCAGCAAACCTGTTATAGTCGAACTTGATTTTTATATCAACAACTGGACGTATTTTTAGTGATAAAGATGAATTAATAGAAATTTACATATAGGAAGTGACTCAAGTGAGAACTCTTGCTTATATGAGAACATAAGAAAAACCAATAACAATCCTTAGAATAAAATAAACTATTTAAATTAGAAGATTACAAACAAGGTTATCACATATCTCCACAATTGGGGTTGCCTTTATCATTGTAATTGCTACTGTTGGAACCCAAAAAATTCCAATCTTGTCCATAGATGGTTTGGACCCCCAATTTGAAAATCTCACCGACATTGGAATGCCTGATGATCGTACTAATCCTCCGCTGATGGTTTTGAAAATATTTCAAATATAAATTCTTACATTTTCTACAAATATAAATTCGTCAAAAATATTTCATCGGTAATATAACTTTTTCTATAAATTTTTTCCATCGAAAATATAGATTTTTTTACAGATTTATATCTATCAGAAATTACCAACAGATATATCCATAGGAAATTACCGACAAATATAACTATCAAAAATTACTAACGAATATATCCGTCATAGATTATCGACAGATATATACGTTAGAAATATAAATTTTTCGACAGATTTGTATTTGTTGGAAATTATCGGTCGAAAATATAAATTTTCTAACAGATTTATGTCCGTCAAAAATAGTCTATCAGTAAAATCCATTGAAAATATAAATTTCTTACAGATTTGTATCCGTCGGAAATTATTCATCAGTAATATAATTTTTCCTACAATTTTTTTCCATCAGTAAAATTCATCAAAAATATAAATTTTTCGACAGATTTGTATCCATCGATAATTTGCATTTTTCTTGTAGTGATTATTCTTATGTAAGTAAAAACACACACACATATGCACACACATATGTACATGCACACACACGCATACGCACACGCACACATACACACATCCTAAATCCACACACACGTACATGCACACGCACACAGAGCATTGATTACATACAAGTTAAAATGGCTAACAAATTCAACTATATCTTATCTTATTTCTACATTGAAAAATTGTCTTTTATTAAATGTCCAATTGAAAAATGTGAAAGAAGTTGCCCCCTTCTCTTTTAAATTGAATGTTTCGCTCGTTAATTCCGTCGCATTCAGTTTGTAAATTATATATCCTTTAGAGACCGAATAACGACCGAATTGTATGTAAATTTGCGACTGAATTGGTTTCGGTGGCTAAATTAGCGACGAAAACAATTCAAAAATATTATTTATAATAATGGTAGCAACCAAATAAAAATCGGTCGCTAAATGTAAATTTTTTAAAACATTTAAGAATGTATTTTTTTCAAAAAAAGAAAGAAAATATAAAAATATATAATATAAAAAAGCCTATAAATCCTAGACTGGAATAGGGCGTTCCAAACTACCAAAAAGGCATGTAACCCAAGTTAGGAATGGGTCGTTCTGGTTTAAGAACGGGTCATTCCAAACATGGTCGTTATGAGTTAAACTCAACTCAAAAACGGGTCGTTCTGGTTTAAGAATGGGTTGTTCCAGATGCGAATTTAATACATGATGAAAGGATCCAGAACAGACCATTTCGGATCTGAAACGGGCTGTTCTGGCCACTTCTGAAATCTATAAATAGCAGACTCTAGCACTGCTCCTGGACACACTCTCTGAAGACCAAAGAGAACCAAGAGAAGGAGATCAACCAGATTCTGCTCTAGTCTCGTCTTCTGCTTATCCAGGTAAGGGAGAGTGAGAAACCTCGCTCAGCATTTTAGGAATAATTGTTGGGTAGCAGGATTGACCCCCAATCCCTTGCCTGAGATATGTTTATAGGAACAGGCACCTTATGAAAGTTTTCTCTTTTGCTTTCTGATTGTTCTGTTGTGTTCCTTGATAGATGTGATGTATGAATATGTGATTAATTTTGAAAATAGATAAGTTTTTATATGAATTAAGGTGCTCCGTGGGCTCTTGTGGGAAACCCTATGAAGTAAAATTAGGGATATAATCTTTGGATGAATTTTGAGGCATTATATGTAAAATTGATTATGGATTCATGTTTTGGATAATTTTTGGGTATGATTACGTGCTACTTTATATATGACTATGAGAAGTTCCTTGTATGAGACTATGTGAATATGACGAGAAAATGTGAAAAGTGAACATATGATCTGTGTAAAGTAAATATATCCCTTTATATATATATATATATATATATAAGGAGGGTTCAAACGACACCGGTGTAACTTTTACTAAGTGTTACACCGCTCAATAACTTTATATTAAATGTGAATTTTGAAAATCCAACCGTTAGATTGAAAGTTCATTACTCTTAAATCATATATATCAAATTTTATATTAATTTGAGATGATTTGGTACTTCATTCATATAAAACAAAATTGACGTAATATATTTATTTCAAAATATACTAAAATATGAACACTTTGATTACCTTCAAGTTGTTGTCAATTTTAACAAAATTTGATATATATGATCTAAGAGTAATGAACTTTCAATCTAACGGTTGAATTTTCAAAATTCACATTTAATATAAAGTTATTGAGCAGTGTAACATTTAG